TAGTCAGAGTCTCCACAAGCTTGCCCTGTGCTGAGCTCCCCGCACATGGCCTGTGGACCCAGTCTACCCCTTTAGCTGCCCACCTGAACCATGGGAGGAAAGCAAGGCCCCCACAACCCAGGCTAGCTTGCCGGGCATCCTTCTCGGATGGCCTTTGTCATCTCTTCACGGCTGGAAAAATGAGCGGCCCCTGTCCTAAGTGACAGGTGAGATGGGGCCAGGAGCCTTTCCCCCTCGGACTCCATTAGGGACGGCAAAGGCTAAGAAGTCTGCTGGCGTCCTTCCAGTTCAAGGCGATCTTCAGGGCCAGGGGCTTCCCCACGGTCCTGCCTTCATGCCTGCGAGTGGGCCTGGGACCTGGCCGAGGAAAGTTGCGGCTGCCTGGGCCACTACCCCGAGGCCAGGGAAGGACGGAGTCTCCTGACAGCCTCGTTCCTGGCAGGCTGGCCGCTGCAGCAAGATGGCAGCTGGGGCAGTCCAAAAATAAAACCCAATTCCAGTCCCTTCCTGTCCGATCTTCAGGGTGACCTCTGTTTGTGTGTTTAACTGTGCTTCACTTGGGGCCAGGACTTCATTCAAGTCCTTCTTACACTTCGTTACCAAATCCCTGCCCACCCCTGCTCTGGACCAGGTCGTTGTCCGGAGGGACTGAGGTGGTCCCTGGGGGTAGGTCAGGGTTTGTGAATTTCTTTCGCTAAGGAGCTCTTGGTTCAAATTCAACCTTCTTCAAAGGGCCCGTAGATGAGACAGGGGAGGGGCTGTCCCAGGCAAGCTCTAGACAAGGGACAGGTGTTCTAGAACCCCCTTCCGAGAGTACAGCATGATTACAGAGTAACACATGAGTCCTGTTCTCAAATGCCCTCTTCTCTTCCTGCCTGACTCTGGACAGGCCTTGTCCTCCGGCCGGGGGGCAGGGTATATGAGTTTCCTGGGGCTTCTCTAACAAGTGACCACAAACTGGCGGGGCTTAAGACCATGGACATTTATTCTTTCCCAGCTCTGGAGGCCAGAAGCCCGAGATCAAGTCTGAGGGCAGGGCTGACTCCTTCTGGAAGGTTCTGAGGGAGAACCCATTCCTGGGCTTCTTGGCAGTTTGGGGCCCTCCTGGGGTCCGTGGCACCCCTTGGCTGGGGGCTGTGTCTCTCCAATCTCTGCCTCTGTTGTAACAGGACTTTCTCCCTGTGTGTCTGCTTTCTCTTCTTATAAGGATGCCACTCTTTGGATTAAGGTCACCCTAATCAAGCATAGTATCATCTTAACTAATTACAGCCCAATTTCCAAACACGCTTCCATTCTGAGGTTCTGGGTGGACATGAATTTTGGGCGACACTGTTTACCCCAGGACAGGTGAGCACAAGTAGGGGCGGGCAGGTGGGGTTGCTGGGGAGCCTTTGGCAGTCTGGCGTGTCCCAGCCACACGACGCGGCTCTGCTGGGGCCAAACATGACCAGCACAGGCTGCCAGTGGGACTCCCTTGCGACTCTTGGCATGGCCCCAGCTGCTCTGGGATCAGGCTAAGCTTCAGAAGCACAGGACAAGCTGGGGGGCTCTGGGGCCAGGCCTGGGCCTGCCTGGAAAGGGACAGAGAGCAGGAGGTCAGCTACAGCGTCCCCATGGGCCCTTCGCCTTGCCCTGGGTCAGGGATCTCATCCAACCCCGCCAACACCCCCCACCAGCTTCCTGGTCCCACATCTCTTCTCTCAAGTCACCTCCTGCAGAATGCCTTACCCTCCGAGGCTGGAAGGAGGACCGTGGGCTCGTCAGGCCCTCTGAGGAGATTCAGTGGGCGGTGGGGACTCTGGGACTGGCCACTCTCCTCAGGCCGGTTGTGGAGGGAGGTTGGGGACTCTGCCTGACCCAGCCCGCTCACTCAAGGCCAGGTGGGTAGGAGGCAGCTGAGCAGAGAGGCTGGTGGGGGAGGTGAAGGAATCTTGGGCCCTGCTCCTCCCTGGGGCTCCCCGTTTTTGGCAGGCGCTCCTGGGACTGGCCTGGGGGCGCTTCACGGTAGTCTCCCAGGAAGGACCTAGGTCCCGTCCCTGGCTCCCAGCCTGTGACCAGTGGGCCTTTGTTTCCAGAGCGATGAATGATATTGGGGACTATGTTGGCTCTAACCTGGAGATATCCTGGCTCCCCAACCTGGACGGCTTGATGGAGGGCTATGCTCGCAACTTCCGGCCGGGCATCGGAGGTGAGGGCGGCCGGTGGGGCACGGGTCGACTCCTGCATCCAGCAGCGTGTGCAAGCCTTGCTGGCTCTGGGATGGCTCCCCTGAGGGTGCATCTGCGGTCCCCGAGGAGTGTGTCAGATTTTGACAGCTAGCCCCTCAGGGAGACAGCCAGGAGGCTGGATCTTCTCAGCATTTCATTGCAGACCGTCGCCAACACGGTCCTCCCTGCAAAGCCCTGTCCTGCCTCCCTGGCTTTCAGTGGGTGGAGAGCCTGGCCTCAGCTCCTTCCTTGCAGGGCCCCCTGTGAACGTGGCCCTCGCCATCGAGGTGGCCAGCATCGACCACATCTCGGAGGTGAACATGGTAGGTGCCAGCCACCCTCTGCCGCACCCCTGCCCGGGGCCCCGGGGACAGGAGCCGGGCTGATGGCCAGCGGCCCTCCCTGCCTCCCCCTGCAGGAGTACACCATGACCGTGTTTCTGCACCAGAGCTGGCGGGACAGTAGGCTGGCCTACAACCACACCAACGAGACTCTGGGGCTGGACAGCCGCTTCGTGGACAAGCTGTGGCTCCCAGACACCTTCATTGTGAACGCCAAGTCCGCCTGGTTCCATGACGTGACGGTGGAGAACAAGCTCATCCGGCTGCAGCCGGACGGGGTGATCCTCTACAGCGTCCGGTGAGCCGGGGCCTGTCCCAGCGAGAGGCCCCGCCGGGAGCCAGTGTGTGTGTGGGGGGTCCGGAGCCTCTGGGCACGGCTGAACCCACGGCAGCTGCAGAGGGGCGGCGGGAAGCCCGCAGGTGCAGCTTTTTGGCCAACGCGGTGCCTTTCTGTTTTCTCCGCGGGGGCGAGAGTCACGTGACATGAAATTCACCTATTTCTGTGCAAACGACTCTGCGGCGTCCAGTAGTCTCGCAGTGTTGTGCAAACGTCACCTCCGTCTGATTCCAGAGCGTCTCCTTCCCCGAAAAGGAGACCCCGGGCCCCCAAGCATTCCCTCACCACCCTCCCCCCCGAACCTGCTTTCTGCCCATTCTGCACATCGCACGTCGAGTTGGTCATGCGCGACGTGTCCTCTTGTGTCTGCCTTCCTCCCTTCAGCAGCGTTCCTGGGGTGACCCGTGCTGTGACGTTCATCAGGGTTTTGTCCCTTCTGTGGCTGAGTAGCATTCCATGGCCTGGTGCCCCTCGTGCATTCAGGAGCCCTGGGCGGCCCCACGTGTCGGCCATCGTGGGTCGGGCCGCTGTGAACACGAATGTCCACGCGTTTGTTTCCACACGTGCTTCTGACACGTGCCTTTTAAACACAGCATTAGTTGCCAACAGGAGATTTACGTAAGAGTCTAAATTCTTCTGGAGAGTCGGAACGTTTGGCAACCCCGGCCTCTTCCCACACTGCCCGGGGAGCAGGAACGCCCAGAGGCTGTCCTTCAGCGCAGGTCAGGTGCTCGGGCACCCTTGTCTTCCAAGCCCCCCTCCGGCTTAGCCAAACAGGCATTTGGAAGGACAAACGAAGTGAAGGGAGCCCAGCTGCGATTCCCGAAGGAAGAGGCACGAGTGTCCGTCCGTGGACCGCAGCGGCCCACGCTCCCCCCGGGGCCAGCGTCTCGCCCACAGAGCCCCAGAGGCCACTCGGCCGCCCTCGCGGGAGGGGGCCCCCTGGGTGGGGGGGGGCAAGAGAAGCAGGTGGCGGGCGCCGGCCTGCCTCCCGGAGACCTCACCAGCACGTTGTCTGGGCAGAATCACGTCCACGGTGGCCTGCGACATGGACCTGGCCAAGTACCCCATGGACGAGCAGGAGTGCATGCTGCTCCTGGAGAGCTGTGAGTGCCTCCGGCCAACGGCCGCTCCCGACTCTGCTGGGGGTGGGCAGGGCACTCGCACCATCAGGGACCACTGCGGCTGACCTGGCTCAGGGACGGGAAAGCATCTGGGATGGGCCCCGTGGAGTTGAGGCTGAAGGGAGGGAGCTTGAAGGCCTGAGAGGCCCGGCCCTCGTCCCAGGGGCCAGTGCCTTGCCCGGGACAGGCGGGTGTCGAGCCCAGACGAGGCATGTATCTATAGCACTCGGCCAGCGTGACAGCCGCTGTGGGTCACCCGGAGATGGTGACCTGCCCTGTCCGCCTCCCTGGGTGCTGGGCACGGCCGCGGGCCTTCTCGCCCCTGGCCGGGTCTTCTCGTGCTGTCCCTGTCGCTGCTGCGTCGGGCTCCCCATGGGCACGGGCGCTCCTGCTGGGGGCTGCCGGGGGCAGGGGTACCAGGCGCCGCTGCCCGCCGGGGCTCTCCCGCAGACGGCTACTCGTCCGAGGACGTCGTGTACTACTGGTCGGAGAACCAGGAGCAGATCCACGGGCTCAACGAGCTGCACCTGGCCCAGTTCACCATCACCAGCTACCGCTTCGCCACCGAGCTGAGAAACTTCAAATCCGGTAACGTGGCTTCTCGCAGCTTCTCCCCACGAGCCGACTTGCGGGTTTCTGGCCCCTCTAATGAAGCCGGTAGCTGGCTCTCGGGACCCCCGAGGAGACACTGGAAAACCACGGACGGGCGTAGGCTGCACCCGGGGACTCTGGACACCACAATGTGGACAGCCGTCAGGTTTTCTCGGCCTGTTCCTCTGGCCTTTGCTGCTCCCTGGAGGCAGCAGCCCCTGGGGTTTGGGGAACATGAGGGGCCAGGACGTCAGGGGACATGCCTCCTGGGGCTGCTTTGTCTCCTGGTCCTTCCTGCCCCTTCCCAGCTCCTGCCGCCCGGTCACTGGTGCCAGTGAGCCCAGCTGGCCCTCTCCTTTCGTTTGGCTGTGCCCCGAGGAGGGCCAGGAGAGCTGGGCTGGCCACACGTCTGGGGTAGGAGCCTGGGCCAGTGTGGACCCGGAACCCATCTCCTCTCCTTCCTCTGGGTGGCCCTGCAGGGAGCCGGCCTCCCTCCAGGACTAGAGCCTGGGCAGGGGAGATCCTGGCGAAGGCCGGGGTCTGGGGCTCACAGGGGCCTCTCCACCCGAGCGCCACTGTGTGTGTGAGGCGGGTCCCAACCTGGAGTGCTTCCCCGACAGCCGGCCAGTTCCCCCGGCTCAGCCTGCATTTCCGCCTCCGGAGGAACCGCGGCGTCTACATCATCCAGTCCTACATGCCGTCTGTCCTCCTCGTCGCCATGTCCTGGGTCTCCTTCTGGATCAGCCAAGCAGCGGTGCCGGCCAGGGTGTCTTTAGGTGCGGGGCCCTGACCTTCCTCAGAGGGAGCTGGCTGAAGGGCAGTAGCCCAGAAATAGGACCCCCGCCCTGCCAGCCACGAGCCCAGGTCTCGCCTCCCAGCTCCATGTTCCCAGCTGTCCTGGGCCCGTGGCCAGCCGGGCCAGGTCCGGTCAGAGGAGCCTGACCTGCACTTAGGCTGGGGGTGGGGGCGCAGGGAGATGGCGGGGGCCCCGGCACTGTCACCGCCCCTCCCCAGCAGGTATTACCACGGTGCTCACCATGACCACACTGATGGTCAGCGCCCGCTCCTCCCTCCCGCGGGCCTCGGCCATCAAGGCACTCGATGTGTATTTCTGGATCTGCTATGTCTTCGTGTTTGCCGCCTTGGTGGAGTACGCCTTCGCCCACTTCAATGCTGACTACCGGAAGAAGCAGAAGGCCAAGGTCAAGGTCAAGGAGCAGAAAGCAGAGGTGAGGCTGAGCCTGCTGGCTCCCTCGTGTTCAGGGTCAAGGACAGCCTCCCCACCAGCTCCCAGTGGCCCCCAGTCCCCACTCCCTCTAGCCCCAACACGGAGGGGCAGCATTGCTGGGGCCCCTTGTCCTGGGACCTGCTCAGGACCCTCTGCCCACTGCTGTGGGGAGGTCACTTGCAGCCCCTGGCGCACGAGAGCAGGTCCAGACTCTGGCCCATCCTGCTGCCAGACGCGGGGGGACTTAGGCACTGGCCCAGGCTGGGGTCCTGGTGTGGGGAGCCTGCCCTTGGCTCAGCCCTGTCTGCTACCCCGCCACGCCCCGCCGTGCAGGTGGACGTGAAGAACGCCATCGTGCTCCTCTCCCTATCAGCCGCCGGCGCCACCCAGGAGCTGGCCGTGTCCCGCCGGCACTGCCGCGGGCCTGGGAACCTCATGGGCTCCTACAGGTGTGTGGAGATGGAGACCGGAGAGGCCAAGAAGCAGGGGGCGGGCCGCTCGGGGGGCCAGGGGGGCCTCCGTGCACTTTTCAAGCGCGTTGACGCCGACACCATCGACGTCTATGCCCGCGTGGTGTTCCCGGCGGCCTTCGTGGCCGTCAACGTCCTCTACTGGGCGGCCTACACCATGTGAGGCCAGAGGCGAGGCCTCGCCTGTCCTGGAGCCCACAGCCGCTGGGGAGAGGCGCTTGGGTTGGTCTGCCTGCTCTGCCGGTTTCGAAGGGGGCTAACAACAGCCGCATAAAATGAGAGGAGAGCCTTGGCCTCCCTGAGGACCCCAGACTCTGTCCCCACCGGCTCCTGGAAGACCACCCTGGGGCTCTCCCATGCACCCTTCCTGCGGACCCCTGGCCTGGCTCCTCCTGGACGGCAGACCCGGCCTGACCTAGGGCTGAGCCACACAGGCTCAGGGCCCTGGAGGAACTCTGCGTTTGATTCAAAAAACCATCCCGATTCTAGGCATTTGCTCTGTGGGCCTGGGACCAGGTCCTGGGAGGCTGGGAATGGGCGGGGCTACTTTCTCGGTGAGACGGTGGAGAAGAGCATCCTTGGGCCTTCGGTCCCAGCATGAAATAAAACGAAGCTTTTGGCTGCTGGCTGTGTTCTCTGTCGCTGGGGCTGAGCTGCAGCCGTGACCTCGCTGACTGGAGAGCCGTCCTCTAGCTGTGGGCTCCCTGGGCTCCAGACCGAGGGACTTGGAGCTGTGTCCCCCAGGCGAGCCACGTGGCCACGTCCCTGGGCATTGGCGGGAGGGGCAGAGGTGCAGGGACCTGGAGAGGGTCGAGGAATCAGTCACACCTCACCTTGATCTCTTGGCCCCGTGGCCAGGGTACCACTATGCTGTCTTCTCAGACGTGGTGATAGGTGAAGGGAGGCCACTGAGTCCCCACAAACACCACTCAGCTCCTTCTCATCTCTGCTGCCACCATGGATGTGGGGTGACAAGGTTGCAGCTGGGTGACAGGGGTTGCTGGTCATTGGAGATCTGAATAAGGGGTCCAGATTTTCCGTGGCACCAACACAGAGCATGTCATCACCACGGAAGCTGGCAGGGGGAGGAGCAGTGGTTGCTGCAGAGCTGGGATGGCCGGCTCCCGTGGCCAAGGTCAGCCATGGGCATGCCGTGATGTGGTCAAGGTGGCAGCCAGGCAGCTGCCCAGCTGGCCCCGTAGTGCCCCTCCTGGTGGGCCCCGCAAGCCACCTCAAGGGGAGCATGACGGGGACTAGGCATGAATCAGGTGGTCCTGCCATCTGCCTCTGACACATAATCTGCTCAGGGGTCTGAAGGGCGTTGGCCCATCGGGACAAACCACAACCCAGCCTTAACCCTTCCAGCTCCCCTCCCCCTCCCCCTGCAGCTCCCCTCCCCCTCCCCCTCCAGCTCCCCTCCCCCTCCCCCTCCAGCTCCCCTCCCCCTCCTCCCCCAGCTCCTCCTCCAACTCTGCCCCCAACTCCCCTCCCCCTCCCCCTCCAGCTCCCCTCCCCCTCCCCCTGCAGCTCTCCTCCCCCAGCTCCTCCTCCAACTCTGCCCCCAGCTCCCCCTCCAGCTCCACCTCCAGCTTCACCTGGGCCTTGGCCTCTCCCTCCAGCTCCCCCCACCCAGCTCCAGCTCCTCTAGCTCCAAGGCCCCTCACCTCCTAAACGCCCCTCCGGGTACGGGGCTGCCACTTGTCTGCCGCTGTCAAGGACTGGGCTGCAGAGCTTGGCAGAGTCGTCCCAGGGGGTGGGGCCGGCCAAGGAGCAAGACCTCCAGGACCCAGTGTGACCAGAAGCTGCAAATGGAGTGGACCTGGGGGCAGGCGGAGAGCAGGCGGCTGCCGAGCCGCAGAGCTGGGACCTGGGTTGGCTGGGATCTGGGCCACCTCAGGACAGCAGGGGCTGGTGGGGACAGCCAAGCCTGGCCAGCTCCATAAACAAGGACAGTGATGCCCAAGGGCAGGGGCCCCTTTCTCCCTTGTCCCCTTGGCACCTTGTCTGCGTGATGCCATGCAGGGTCCCTGCCCCCTCCTCCTTGGCGCCTGGAGAACTGCCTGGGGTTGGGTGTTCAAGCCCCAGAAGTGCGCGGAAGCTATCGGGCCGGGCTTAGGGCTGCCCACCCTCCCTAGTCCGGAAGGCAGCTGGGGTCCTGTCCCAGGTCCTGCGTTCGTTCCACCGAGGAAGGCCAGGTAGGGAAGGCTCCATCCCTAGGCCTCCGGGGGTTGTGCAGGTAGGTTCAAGGTTCAGGGAGCTGCTGAGCTCACCTGGGTGCAGGGCCCTGCCCCGCCCCCGCCAGCCTGTCCTCACCTCCCCTGCGGCTTGCCGGCTGCCCTCTTTCTGCTGCACATAACCCACAAGGAGCTATTTAAAGCCGGCCTTTGTGCCTGCCTCGGGCACCCACGCGGCGAGGCCCACCCGGGCAGGAGCCTTCGCCTGATTCCGCAGCAGCGATCACTCCCTCCAGCCTGCAGGCTTCTATTTCTGCCCACATGTTTACAGGGCCAGGAAAGAGGGACGGGAAGGGCTGGTGCTTTTTCAACGTGGAGTTCTATTCCGGTGGTGATGAGATGGGCCGACTGAAGGCCGGGGCGGATCGAGGTTTGCAGCTGAGAGGGGCTGGCTTGGGGAGACGTCAGCAGTTCCTGTGTCAGAGGCATCCGGGCCGGGGAGGGGGGCTGCCTCCGGATGTGCCTCACTGCAGCAGGGACAGTTTTGGGGGCTGGTGGCTGTGTTGTCTCTGGCAGAGGCTGGGACGTCCGTTGCCAACGCAGACTGAGATGCTTCCCTGAGAGCTGGGACGGCTCCTGCCCAAGTCCGGAGGGCTGGGGCAGGCTCTGCAAAGACCTTACTTCCAAATAAGGACTGCGTCGGCATGGAATTGGGGGGGAACACGGTTTAACCCAATTTGGGGGGTGTCCCAGAGGCAGGAGGGGAGGAAGCAGGAAAAGCTGACAAAGTGCTTTACACCTGGGGCTCTCAGGTCCCAGTCCCACTGGGGAGCCTCTGCTCCTGTGCAGCAGAACCTCTGTACCGTCCGTTTGAGGAGTCACGTGCTGGGGCATTTGTCACCCACTGCCACCCCAGGGCCACCTGCCTGCGAGCTGCCGGCAGCCCCGCGGCACCGTGGAAAGTGCTAGAGGGTCCGTGGCACCGGCACCACAGCAGCGGGGAGTCCTCCCAGCAGCACTCACGTCTGCTCAAGACATCGCTGGTTCTCTGAGGCGGTGGTTGTCACAGCGCCCCCACCGACAGCCCTGCTGAGCACGAGAAGCCGCAGTCCGTGCCCACGGCTGCAGGTGATTCTGAGAGTCATGCTGTCCCCCCCGCCCCATCCGTCCCTGCCCAGCACCTCGGCTTGCTTCGGTAGCTGCCTGGCTCAGTGACCGACAGCCTGGTCCTCAGGGCTGAGCCTCAGTCGCCTGGCCCTCGCCGGACCGTGTGTGGCTGCGGTGACCCACTCTGGGCCACGGCTGTGGACGCCCTGAGAGGTGAATCTTGCAGAACCAAAAGGCAAGCAACTCGGGTTTCCAGCCGCCAGAGGATTCCACTCGCCGGCACTCCTGACAGGCACTCAAGTGGGCAGGAGGCACAACAGTCTGCGGTCACCTGGCCCAACGTATCAGACCGTTGCATCCGTGAGCCCAGGCCGACGTGGCTTCCCCTCTGTCACGTGGCTCTAGGGACCCCAGCCCCACATGAGATCACAGATTCCAGAGGAGGGGGAGGCGTTGAAGCCATGGGATTGCTGACCCGATCACCTGGGCCACTTTTTATGCAACTTTTTGACCCTCGAGGCTCGCTTGATCCTAAGCCAGGTGA